CCTCAGGAGAAAGACTTCTATGAAACGTTGAGATCAGTACTACAGTGGTGGCCTTCCTCTTCTCCCTGCTCCCTGCTTGACACCTAAGTTCAGAACTCTAAGGAGTTTCTTTTCTCCCAATATAAAAAATTAAATAAAGACTTCTATAAAATAGAAATAACACTGTTTTGTTACTTTCGATCAATATCGTAAAAAGATAAGTGATAACACTTCCATATGATATAAACATTATTGGCCGAAAATAGCGTTTTTTTATCCCCGTTGCAGCTAAATTTTTCTCCCTCCTCGGCATCAGCTGGAAAAAGTTGATCATTTATGTGAGCTGCAGAAAGTGTGTAAAAGAAAGAGAGAGACATGTGTTTGTTTTGTTGAACAAGCAAAGGCTGTGGGCTGCAGAAAATGCAGCATGCATGGCAGGCAAGGGTGTGGTGCACGCTGTACCAGCAACAGCAACAGCTGCAGTGATGTCATGTACTAACTGAATATATCGTCAAAATACATAAGAGAGAGAGAGCAACAAAAGGCAGAGCTAGCTTTAGGGCTGAGGCAATCAGTCAGGTCATGGAGTGATCAATAAGTAAAACGATTTTCTCCGATTTCTCTCTCTCTCTCTCTCTCTCCTTAGAGTGCAGGTACTAGTAAATAGTAATATATATGCACGTTAGTGTTTATGGTGCTGCCGCCCTGCTTTGCCAGCCTATAGCAACCAGCAGCTTTCAACTTGGACAGCTGTCCCTCCCCTGTTCTGTTCATTTTCATTAGGTCTGGGTGGCGGATTCATGAATATTCATTCCGGGAGTCAACGTGTAAAAGGTTAAAAAAATTTCTATACAAAATAGACCCATCAAAATGAAACGATAATATTATAATTCATAGTTAATAGATAAAACCATACAAAATACTCATATTCATTATCAAAGATAACTGCATCAATTTCAAAAAATAGACACACACTACTATAAACCAAAAATATCTATAAGAATGTGATAATAAACCAAAAAATTAGCGCAATCCTCTTCGCCTCCCAAGGAGTCTCACCCTATTCAACGTAAGAGCTGGCATATATTAGTGCAATCCTGCTCATTTTAGGGCATTTACGTCATTTTTGAGGTCTATCGTCGTTTTGATTTTAGGCTTTATATGCATTTCTTTTAGGCTCTAGCTTTCAAACTTTGAACCCTTATGAATACTGTCTTAGGGCGAGCATATTCAAGTAAATATTTCTTTAATACATAAGAGTTAGATTATTCTTGTAAAACTCTTTTTACCTAGATTGACTTTAGGTCCCTTCATGCATTCATATCATATATGAGAAATTATTTTATGTAAAAATATTGGCTGAGTACAGTGGCGGATGCAGGATTCTTGGAGCAAGGGGTCACAATGTAAAAGCTTCAATTTTTTTTAAAAAGAAAATAACACTAAAAAAGTAGAAAAATAGTACTTTCATCCAAGCTTCAATTGTGCACGATAATTTTTCTTTTGAAAACATTGCATCATTTATTTTTCAATAATTTTAGGCACTTTTGTTAATATTTGATATAAAAGAGATTATCATTTTAAAAAAAATTCAAAGGAAACAAGCCCAACCCCCCACTTTGAAAAAGAAAAAAAAAAACAAAAAACAATACCTCCCCATCTTCTTCTTCACAATTTCTCTCTGCAACATCCACCCCAATCCTCTCTCCCGAGACTTTCTCAACTTTTATAAATAAAAAAATACTACATATCAATCAATATTCAATATACTCAATCAATCCACATTATCAATCAATTATAAGCCCAATCAATCCACATTATCATATTCATAAATTTAATTCCATAAAAAAAAATATCAATATCAACAATATATGTTATCATTATAAATTTATAAATATCAATTTTGTTCACTTGTAGCTGAAAAATATGATGGCGGATGGTGGCACAAGGTGGTGGTGGTCGGCACAAACAAAGAGGTGTGGTGGAGGTTGGAGGTTGGAGGTTGGGTGGTTTGGAGCTCTTAGAGTTTGAAAGGGTGAGATAGAATTGGGAATGAAAAAGGGTTTGGAGGTGCTCTGAAATCGGGTAAGGGATGAGATTTTTTTGTTTTTTTTTGTTTTTTTAAAACATGGCTCAAAACGACGCCATTTTGAGGCCAGGTCAATTAAAAAAAATTTGACTGAGCCTTGGACCAAATGATGTCGTTTGGCCAGGCTCGTTTTAAAAAAAAAGGACGCATAGCACAGCAAGGCAGACAGGCAGCAAGTTGGGACTTTCGTCGAGCACTTGGTGTGCACACAAGAGGTCGCTAACCTACTGTCCAAGGGGTCGTTCATGGAGTCCACAGCCAGATTCCCAGCATTCCAAGGGGTCGTGCGACCCCTCTAGTCTCAATGTGCGACCCCTCTTGTCTCAATGTGCGTCCCCTCTTGTCCCAACGTGCATCCCGCCTCTAGCTGAGTATGAAAAATGGTTTTTCGGAATAATAATTTTCTCAAGATAATTTTTGGCGGCTTTTATTCCTTACACATCAAATAAGAAAACTTAATTTTATGGGATTTTAGTATGAAGTATATATTGACTTAATGAGCCATCATTTTTAGCCTAAATTGTATTTTGCACTAAAACCAATTTTTCATATTTTAATTTGGTGGGAATTTGATTTTCCAGTACTTTTATTTGAATCCAAATGGAGATTACTTTCTTATTTACATTGTAAACTTAAGTAAATAAAATAGGGTTATTCGCAGCAATGGTCCCTCAACTATACCCGTATTTACACTTTGGTCCACCAATTCAATTATTAGTTGCGGGGGTCACTCAACTAGGTACTATGTTGCACCAGTAGTCCTTCCGTCAAATCTGTTAAATTTTCTGTCAAAAGTGAGGATAAATTCGGAATTTCATCCACAACTCTCCCCTTCCTCCACAACCCTCCCCTTCCTCCAAGTTCATGGCATAAATTAGCTTCAAACCCAACTTTTTGACAAGGGAGATATCCCTATCCACCATCTTGTCCACCGGGTCAATCAACTGCAAATTAAAATTCATCAAAATCAAAATCCTAATTATAATTATAAAGTTTTAATTTTTATTCAAAATATTTAAAGGCTAGCTAACCAGAGCGGGTTTGTCGGGGTGAGAGACGTCGGCGAGCAAGTAAGTGTACGTGGAGGACTCCTTCTCGAAGAGCTGGCGGAAGAGGAGCTTCGTAGAGGAGGCGGAGTCAGACGACGTCGTGTAAGCAGAGGTGGCCATGATTTGGGAATGGGAATGGGCAGAAATGGGACTGAAGAAAAGGGAAGAAGAAGAATAAGAGGAGCGAGAAGGAAGAGAGAGAAATCTGAGGAGACTGATTCGAAGCATCTGTCCTGTAATGTTGTTGGTGGACACAGCGATGAAATCGATCAGCTGAGTCTGTATTATTTTTATTATTTTTCATTTTTTAAGGTGGTGGTGTTGCTGTGCATTATTATTGTTGTTGTGCTTTTCGAGTTGTGTTGTGTAGTGTGAGATCAGCAACAACAAGGATTGCGATTGGTTTGCGCGCGCCAAATCCGATGAGGGAATGCACCAGTAGTCCTTCATCCACCGCCATGCCTGACTCAGTGAGTTAGAGCTTCCGAGTTGGGGTTTGCTTGCTCTGTGTTTTTACTTGTATTTCACGAGTGAGAGAGTGAGTCACTGAGAGAAAGAGGGTGGTTGGAATCGGGATTAATGGTGGTTATGTGGAGGTTACTGTTTCAATTTAAAAGGTTGGGACCATGAATATTCATGAGGTTATTGTATGCTGGGGATAGGGATGTGCAGAGGGTTTCTTTTGTTCTACACCAATGGGCTGCACATTTTAAGTTCGCTCAGAGAGAGAAAGGGAGGGGTTGTGGATGAATTTCCGAATTTACCCTCACTTTTGACAGAAAATTTAACAGAGTTTGACGGAAGGACTATTGGTGCAACATAGCACCTAGTTGAGTAACCCCCGCAACTAGTAATTGAATTGGTGGACCAAAGTGTAACTACGGGTATAATTGAGGGACCATTGCTGCGAATAACCCAATAAAATAATATAAAAATAAATAGTGGATTCCTAGCTTGCAGGAATCATTGACCCCTCTTGCCCCTATGTGAATCCGCCCCTAGACATGTATGCATGTATATTTGGTCCATTTGAGAATTTGGAATTATTGATAGGTTGCCATGAGAAATGAATCCAAATAAGAAAAGAAATGGGCAAGTGCCAAGTGGGTGGAGTGGAGACATGGTCTCTTGCATTGATGGAATGAATCTTTATAAGATTCTTTGTTTTCCTTTTTGTTTTTCTTTCTGGATTTTTCTTTTAAATTTTGATACGAGCAATATTAAAGGAGAAGAAATTGTATTTAGGACTTCGGATGCAATATTAATACTCTTAAACACTTGAGCTATAAACTTCTTACTTTTGTTTTAAAATTTTGGGTTAAATTAAAATGAAAAAAAAAAAAAAAAAAACACCGATTGCATTGCATGCAGGTTCTGTTTGTTTTATATTTCAACCATATTTTTTGAGCCCCAAGTCTATATAGAATAGAAGCAGAGGTCAAGTGCCAAGGACCAGCAAAACCTGCCCTGTGATAAATTTTTTGCCGGACAATAACATAAAAGCCTTCTTTTTTGGATGAATTTCATTGGTCTGTCTGACTCTGGTACGTACAGAGTGGCACATACTTTTACATGCACCATAAAACCATTAAATATCTTTTCACCTAGAAAACAAAATAGCCATAAATACAGTCACAAATTAATAACCGACTCTCCGAATAAATAAACAATGAAAAAAAAACATGGGACTAATTGTTTTTTCCTCAATTTAAGTGGAAAAAAACATGGATTTTTTGAAGAAGCCAATGTGAGAAAAAAGAGGTCCATTTACCCGGCCCAACCCAAATCTCTTTCGTCCCACCAAAACCATAACCGCCTTATTCCGCTCCCGAAGCCCAAAGGCAGAGAGATTCGAAGCGTTGATCGTCTGCCAAACTCAGGGAGTCGGGTAACACAAATTTCTCCAAAATTTTGTTTGGTTAACGAGAAAATTAATGGAAGTTTGAATATTTTCGACGCTATTATTAAATACCCAAATTTTCTTCCTCGAATTTCTTAGTAACCATTTGTTTTTCTTAAAGAGGATGTTTTTTTTTCTTGCGATCTTAGTAACCATCAGAGATCGCAAAGTTACAATCTTCGATACTTTTCTTACTTAGTTAGCTAATCTTTACTTAATTTCCGAATAGCAATGTAATTAAAACAGTCAATGCATCACAAATTTGGGCGCTTCAATCCCTTGTGTGAAGGTTATTTTGAATTACGTTTGTTTGAATGCTATATTCATTAGTTTATGTCTTCTTGCTCAGAAACTGTTCGTGAAAATGTTTCATTAGCAATATCTCAATTTGTTTTGTGCGTGTGAAGGCTAAGTGTTGTGCTACATTCTGTCGGTAGGGGTGAGGATTACAAGTAAAAGAGGAGAGTTGCCATGATAGGAAGTGCTCGTGTTCGGTTGAACCGGTGGCAGCAGGCAGCCGTTGCGGTTGGCTCAGCTGTGGGCGCATTGCTGGACCCAAGAAGAGCTGACCTCATAGCAGCTCTTGGAGAGACAACTGGGAAGCCTGCATTTGAAAGAGTTCTTGAAAGAATGAAGAAGAGCCCTGAAGGCAGGGTAAAGCCTCTTGTCTACCCTTTACCTTGTTATTTGGTTATTTATCAGTAGACAATGATCTAATGAAATGATAATATGTTCTACATAATAGTATATGGAAGTTGTTCAGAAAAACTTGCTCAAATTATTCCTGTTGTTTCTGCCTGGCTATCTGCCTTGTGTTTTGTTAATGAGGGTGTTGGAGTTTTGGGTTAATTTTTGAGTCGGTAACATGTTCTTTGAAAATCTGCTTGTTTCGATAGAAAAGTGGCATGAACAGAGCATTTCGTGCCTGTCTTAGCAAGGGAAATGACCGTATTAGCTGCTAATGCTACTTAGATAATTACTTATCGAGAAAATTGCTACTTGGATTATTGACGGTACCCATCCTGGCAAATTGAAGTTATATTTTAGCCTTTCATGTAAAAATGGCAATATTGTTTTCCATGTTGCTGACTGCTGAGTATTGAGTGCTATTGCTCTTAATTTATATTTGTATGAAAGCTAATGGAAACATGGAAAACTACTACCACTCATAATCCTTTCGTATGATTACTTGTAATGAGCTTTTAATTAAGCTGATTCGTCATATGTAACTCTCTGTTGTGCTTTGTATTTACCAAATATCAAAATGTTATAGAATGAGTACTTCAAAAACATTATATGTTTGTTGTGCAGATAAAAAATGAAGCAATCTTTGTTTCTTGCAAATTCTATTTTCTCAATAGCTTCCTCTTGTTATTCTAACACCAATGCATATCTTTTTTCACAGGCTATACTGTTGGAGCAACCCCGTGTAATATCTGTAAAAGTGGGTCATGCATGGGATCTACCAGCAAACACATTTGGTGCGGCCTATGCAAAGTTCATGGGATCCAGGAACTTCTCCCCAGATGATCGACCACCAGTGCGGTTCATGGAAACGGACGAGCTTGCATACGTGGCCATGAGGGCTCGCGAGGTGCACGACTTCTGGCACACCCTTTTTGGCCTTCCAACGAACTTGATGGGTGAATCAGCACTCAAGGTAATAGAGTTTGAGCAAATGTACCTTCCCATGTGCCTGATGTCCGTTATAGGGGGGTCTGCAAGATTCAGTGAGAAGCAAAGAAAATTGTTCTTTCAACACTACTTTCCTTGGGCCATCCGAGCCGGAATGCAGTGCACAGATCTCATGTGTATATATTATGAGCAGCACTTTCATGAGGACTTGGAGGATGTTCGGAGAAAATGGGGCATAATTCCTGCTCCTGCTGTTCCTAAACAAACCCGAGCACCGGCAGCTTCATCTGCTATGGGGGAGAAACTGTAGATTTCTCGAGCACACGAACTGGTTAACAGACTAAATTTTGTTTGAACACATCGAGAATTACCGTATGATTTCAATCTTCAGAAATTGAATCTCGTGGGACAAGATAACTCATGTAAATTATGTCCAGTCCTTGCCAGCACGTCTAATCATTTCATCGTTGGATCTTATATTCCTGGAGAAACCAATTTGATTTATTGATTTGCCTCGGAAACTGGTTAGTCAAAATTGTATTCCGTCACAAATAGTGGTTTTCTATTTTTCCTTTCTTGTTCTTATTTGTTTTATTATTTTATTTTTCTTTTATAACTTTAATAACTTCGATGTGAGAACTGGGAACATGAGAGACACGAAGGATCACATGAGCCTGGCAACGCAAAAGAAAGGCATGACATTCAAAAAGAAATTTTAAATTTTACCGATTATCACCACCACTTGAATTTCAAATCAACAATAATGACCATGTAAAGATGGCAGACAGAAATTAATCACTGGGAAAATAACAGAGAAAACACCAAATATGCACTAGGGAAATGCTGCTTTGTCCATGACAAGGAAGGAAATCTGTATCAGATGGTTTATGCATCTAAAAAAGAGCACTCTTGATTGAATGAGCCCAACAACCACAACACCTATGTTACATCACAGAATCCATAAAAGTCTTAATTGTTTATATAAAGGATGGAAGGCATTGCCTCATCCAAAATAGAGGTTCCACAAAATTCAACAATGCGAAGGCATGTCTCAGTTGCCACCTGGTCCACCAAAGAGGTAATCCAGAGAAGAACCACCACCTGGGGCAGAGTGGACCTTAGTCGAGGGTCGATCCTGCACACAAGGAAAATCAATACCGACATTATAATAACACATAGCAATAAAACACACAAAAGAAGACATAACAACCAACTGTGCTTTGAGCTGTAAACACAAGTTTACGGTGGCACAATAAGTGATCAAACACCGGAACAAGCCCTATCTGTGTCAGTACTCAGGTGAAGTAAAAGTCAGGAAGCACAATCCAATCAGGAACAGGTTCACTACTACCTGTGTGCTACCCTAGAGGGAGGGAGAGAGGGAGAAGGTACAGGGGCAGGAAGGGGAGGAAGGACGGGTGAATCTTAAAATGTTAGATGGTGTAGATGAGAAATACTTCTAGGTTGAAACTTGAACTTTTTTACAACATGGGGAAGAATGTTTTACCAAATTAGCAAAATGCTGAGATGTTTAAAGTTGTTAATCAAGACAAGCATTTTACATGTCATGTTCTATCCTATGAATGAAATTGAAAAACACAAAAGAAAACAGAGAGCAACATTTTGATCTAACATTTAATAATAAAAAAGGTATGAACACTGCATATGCAGGAAAACCATACCGTAATGAAGTTTCCAGTGTTCTGGCCATCTGCACGCATGTAGTTGTTTGAAGAAGTACTGTGGATGCCAGCAGGAATCTGCTTGGTGATATCTACTGGCTCAGGAGCAGGAGGAGGAGCAGTAGGTTTGGAAGCAGGCTCATTAGTCACAACCCTCCCTTCGTTTGGAATTGGTGCAGCTTGGGTGTTGTTTGCGGCCGGGTTTGGAGCCTCCCCACTCCCGAAAAGATAGCCCAAAGAACTCTGTCCCCCACCACTGCTAACTCCACGACCCATGTTCTCCAACTTCTTCTTAGATAACCCTACACTCTGTGTTACAAGTAGATAGTTAGAATAGATGTTTGGGAAAAAGAACCAACATTGCAAGATATTATACTATTGATTGCTACTGGATGCCTCAAACATATACCATCAGTCATATGCCTACAGGAAAATTTATCACAAGGACCTTATCACTATTTGCTAAAATGTCTTGAAATGCTTTGAAATCGAACAAGCTTATTGTTGATCCATTTTATAGAACAAAACATTTACAATAAATCCGGGAGAAAATAAAATAAAATCTCTTAGAATCCGCATGGTAGGCTTCTGCCTTCATCACAAAAAGGGCTCAAGCATGGGGCGTTTGGTAGGCCAAACCATTCCAACTCTCTTTATTTCTGAAAGTTTACTTCACTATTTAATACCCAAATGATCATTTCAGCTAAATTAGACACAAAGACGCATAATTCAGCAAAATGTACGCTCAAATCCACAAACTTTTCCGTACACAAAAGGGGAAAATAAACAGATCCACCATAAACTGCACAGCCAACAAATCCCAAACCGAAGCAAGAGAAATGTCTCAATCACACACTAGAACAAAGCAACGTATATAGATCTACCAAAAGAAATGAACCTCAACGTGCTAATCAGTGCCGGGCCATAATTTCACCCAAAAAATCAACTGAAGAACTATCAAATATTCATTATAAAAATACACAGAGAGAGAAGAACAAGAGAAAGCATCAAATCAAAAACAGTGAAATCGATTAAAGGTAAGGAATTGAAAGCACAACCCAGTGATTGAAACACTGAAACGTAAATCCAGGATAAGAGGCAGAGATCTAGGGTTAGAGATAGGGCTGGGTAGGGTACCTGGTTGTTGGGATCAGATCTGGAGGGAAAGCTGTGAAGCAGAGAGAGTGAAAAACACTGTAACCTCGGTACTGAGACAGCAAAAGCTACGCCAAATCTATGCGTTATATAAATGAGTACATACACTCACTGTTTTTCTATTTTTATTTTATTTTTATTTTTCAAATTGAGAGTTCATTTATCTATATATATAAAGCAAAAGGCAGAGAATGGTGAAACATTCAAAATACCAGAAAATGCCCTTTGTTAATGCAAACATTAAGAATTGAAATTATTAATTAAATGAGGATAATATGGTAAATTCACATTTTTTTTAAAAAGTCTCTCGCAAGCGCGGAAGCGCGTGCGGAGAGGCTAGTACGATACTAAATACCAATTCACAAATTCAAGCTATCTACTACAAATAAAAAAACTGAATCCCTCATAATTCAATAGTAAAAAAACCGTTTGTATCCAATGGAGATTTTCATTTTTAAATTTTCCTGAAATTTTGAATTTTGAAGGTTTTCATTTTCACCTTTTAAAATAAGGACAACATGGCGGAAGCAAAGACAATAACCGAATTGTGAATGTAAGTGGGGAAGTAAAGTATTTTACAATCGTTGAAGCCATTATTCTGCGCTTCCCACCTTTTATTTAATAATAATTTTCACTTTTGTGTGTTTTTTTTAAACAATTTTAACATGTATTATTGTCAGACTATTAACCATGGTTCAAGTAAAAATTTATCTCTTTAAAGTTTTGATTGATACTGAAATTGTAACTTTAGCAAGAGAACACTAGTACTTTTGCTTGTGTTTGAACATTTGGGAATTGTAAGCCTATATTTGAATTATGACTTTCAAAGATTTTTGGCCAATTGCTTTCAAGTTTTTAATATTTTTATTATTACAAATAATTCGGTCCCAATTGCTTTTGAGTTCCATATATAGGGAGGGAAACTTAAGATTTTTTTTATAAAAAAAATTTAAAAATACAATACGAATAAGTTGAAATGTATTTAAACCAAACCACCACCAATAATAATGTGTTGGTATTCTTTCCATTTTTGAGTATTTTAAACCTTAGGCAAGTAATTGGGATAAAATGTTATGCCAGTGAGTGAGGCATTTGATGTAACCCACCTGCGGGTACATTCCATTTGTAGGACATGCATCATGTGTGAACCATAATTACCAACTTGCCAACTTACCAAACAAGAAAATAGGTCAAAAAATTCCTTGTCACTGATTGGGCAAATTTAAACCTAAGCCTGCCAAAACATAAAATTCACATGATGCTGCTAATCTACCCCTTGTTTTCCAGTAATTTACCATAAATATTTTTGCTTTTATAAATATTAGCTGGATATACAGAAGTGAAGCACACAAAAATATATGTACACTCTCTATTCTATATGCGGTGACAGGAAAATAAACCTAAATACACTGAACACTCGACTTATTATGTGCTGCATTGTTGAACATGCTATATCTGCTGTAATGGCAGCTCAGCTCATGCCTAAATTGGAGGAATCTGGGATATCTCTACTAATATCCTGTGCAAAGCCTGTGGCCTTGAGAAGAAAGGTGCATGATCAGAGCCCTTAAGCCGGAAAACTTGTTCCGGGGGGTTCGATTCGATCATGGTCTCCTGTAGAGGAACGCTTATGGCATGATCTTCTTGAGTGACTACGAAGAACCGCCTCACAGAGCCGTAATTCGTGCCGGAAAGGGAGAGCTTCTCTGTCACTGGTGCAAAAGGGATTGGCCTCATGGACACTGATGCTAATGCAACATCCTGGTTTGGAAGGAACATAAATAAAAGCTTCAATATCAATACTGAATAAATTGTGCCATTTTTTCAAAGCAGATCATGCCGTACTATAAGCTATATATATACCTTTGCAGGACTTTGATTGAACAATAAGTCTTCAGCCAATTTTTTGGCAAGATTAATGGCTGTTGGAGGTTGATCCTTCCCATTGGCATACAAGAAAATCTGAGCCTGTCGCATCAGATCATTCGACCCGGTCTGCATTAACATGATAAACTAGTTCAATTTATGAAGAGGAACACAAAATACTTGAATGCAATTATAATTGTTGTGCTGTTTTCTCTTGTCTATTTTTCCCCTACCTGTTGAGCAAACAGATTGAGAGTACTTTGCCCACTAGCTAACATTGCTGCAGAAATGAATATGGCTTTTGCTATTTTTGATGGAAACAACTCCATTACATAGGAGATACATGTGCCACCAAAGTCATGTCCAACCAAAATTACCTGCATTTTAGAGGGGAAAAAAATATTATTTCCTAGTACATTAAAATTAATCATCTATCATAATTCATATCAGAGAGAGAGAGAGAGAGCAGAAACCTTCTTCCCATCCCCAAGTTTCTCAAGGATGTCAGTGAGTGGCTTTACATATTGTGCAAGACTTGTAATGCTGTTGGTATCAAAGGAGTCAACTCCAGAACCTGTCAAGTCAACTGCATCAACTTTGAACCCACTTTCTTCTAAAAGTGTCATGCTTTTATACCAACACCAAGCACCAAAGCCACCTCCATGAACAAGGATGAAATGATTGGTTTCCAGACCATCAGTCTTTACATCCTGTAAATGAAATAAACTTATATAAGTTCAAAACTGTTAAAGCATTTGAGCCAAAAAAAAGACTTATTTTCTTTGAAAATATGAAAAATATGCAGAGTCAAATGTTGTTGCTCTGTAGTTAAACTATGACATGTCATATCTTAGGTAAAGATATTTGCAGCATCCAATTTGGAATTTTGGACGCAAGCTTGGAACTGATCAAACTTATTTAACCAATCCTTAGGAGCTGAAATATTCAACCGTCCAACAAAACCCAACATGATGCCAAATGTAGTTTACAGCAAATGCAAAACTAGCACAAAACAAAACATGTCATGTAAGGTGACATAATGTAGTTTAAATAGTATAACCCAGTTAACGTACGATTCTGCCTAACTAAGCCGTACTGCAAATTGCTCCAAGAATCAGACCCAAAAAAAAATTGCTCCAAGAATTGGTCCACGGCGTTGACCAACTCAGTACACTGTTCCTAGAGGTTCGTTGAGAGAGAGAGAGAGAGAGAGAGAGAGAGAGAGAGAGGAGACTTTAATTGCTCGTATTCCAATTCCCAGCCTTAAATTTAGATCATATGATTCTTGATATAAGTGTAGATTGCTATAAACAGAGAAAATAATTTGCCAGTCATTAGTTTCCCATAATCCTTATATGAATGAGAACGAAAAAACTTTGGATGAGGCTAAGTGCATATGCGAACATGTTCAAACCTGCTTATCAACAAGCTCAAGGGGCTGAAAGCTGACAGCATCCGAACGCAAACGTTGCCTAGAGCTGGAGCTTTTTGTAAAGCTCTGATTCTGTTGACCAGGAGAGGGATAAACCACGGAAGTGGATCGGTTAAGCGGTATCGATGAAGCGTTCTTCTGGTGGTTCTGGAACAGCAGAACAGCCTCTATTGCTTGCTGTTGAAGCAGCAAATCATCCGCAAGCATCTCTTTCTTCTTGCTTGAACCGTTTGATCTTCTAGTGCTAGCAATGGAGGACAAGAAAGGTGAAGAGGATGGTGAGCGTTTGGAGGGCTCTCTGTTGAAGGTGTTGCTGTTGGGTTTCTTGTGTGATGGTGAGAAACATACCAATGAGTTCCCCATTTTCTTGCTTTCAGAGAATGAGAGAGAGCCTCAGAGTCAGAATATGAAGCATTATTAATGTGACGGAGAATGCTGATGTAGTAGATGGAGGAAACACAAAGTTTGACCAAGTTGTTGTTGTTGTAGCTAGTATTAAAAAACTAGCTACAACAAGTTTAATGTGGAAAACGAGAGAGAGAAGAAAAAGTTACAAGAGGGTTTGTGTTTCAAATATAATAAATGAAACTTTTGTGCCATTTGAAGTCAAAGAAAAGCGCTTTGAAATCAGAGGATTGATTGGGGTGGGGCTAATTCAATTCCCTTGTTAAAAAGAAAAACAGAAGAATTATATTCTTTTGGTTTGTTTTCCTCTTCTTCTTTGTAGCCATTTATTTTGACCAAATAGTCAGCTTCCAAAGGTCCCAAAGCCAGAGGGGCCAATCACATTGTTTACAATTTGTTAGATTAGGAGCGTTCATAATGGTTTTTACAAGTTTTATTTTGATACACAGCGATATTAGGGAGGAGAAATCAAATTTAGGACTTATATGCGACGATAAATGCTCTTAATTATTTGAGCTACAAGCTTTCATGATTTATACTTAGAGGAAGCCCCTTCATATTTGCTGTGGTTTCTTAGATTACTCAAATCGTGATGGTTGAATGAAGACTTTTCTTTATTTATGTTGTTGTTTCCGGGCCTCTGTTTGCTTGACTTTTCAAATTTCTTTGTTTTTGGATTCTTCCAACTCAAGTCAAACTCCCATGTTGGATACTCGAAAGTTCAGACCAAACCCACATGATTGAACCCAAATTCAAAAATCTATCCGTTTGTTTCATGAGAAAGGAGACTTGGGGATGAAAAATCAATTGCTTTCCTATATTTGGTAAATCCGAGCATGGGAAATGATTGCTTAGCACATGAAAAAATAGGGGGCAAAGTGAAGCCCTCATCTCAACTTGGATTTTGTTTTCCCTCCTTATGAAAAAGTTTGGGAAAATGAGCCAACATTCAACGCACATTTTTCATGATTATTTTGTCCCCATGAACAAATTAGACAAATTAGAATTACAATGTATCATTCATGTATCATTAAATGAAGACTTCTCTTTTATTTATTGTTTTCCGGGCCTCTGTCTGCTTGACCTTTCAAATTTCTTTGTTTTTGGATTCTTCCAACTCAAGTCAAACTCCCATGTTGGATGCTCGAAAGTTCAGACCATACCCACATGATTGACCCCAAATTCAAAAACATATAAGATAGCAGAGTTCTATTACAGAAAAGATGCATAACAGAGAATAAATGTATTGGATTTATCAGTGTACATATTCCTCCTGACTCGGTACAAGGCTATATCATTACCCCATCTATATCATCAACAGTTAATTGTATTCTCACTGAAACAATGTAGAAATCCCAAAGAAAATAACCCGCATCCAACTTGGATTTAGTTAGTTCAGATGCCTAGCTGTAACAGCTTGTTTTCTAAACACAAGCAACAGTGCTGCATGTCGTATTGCAATCGTGAAGCCATTACAGGATTTTCTTTCTTCCAAATGCTCCTAGTTGTGTATATCAATGGCTGGACACGATTAAGAAGCTTTTCAAAAATCCAGTTCATGCAGGCAACAGATGGATCCTCAAATACATCATCGTCACCAAGGTCCATATTTCGAGTAACTCCCATCATCAAGTCTCTTCTCTCAACATTAAACAGTAACTAGTTATGCCAGCATCAGACATCAAGGTCACCAGTCCTTTAACCACTCTCCTTGTTGCATGTCAGGATCAGGCATCGAAATAGGAGAACGACAGTAGAGCTTTCAATTAAGTTATATGACATTACATCCAAGGTGGAAAGTATCTTGTTCATACCTGCATGTAATATGGTACTTGTAAGAACTTAGGGCTAGTTTGGTAGGGAGGACTAGACTAGACTAGCAAAATGCCTACATTTCATGTGCATTGAAGGCTAATATGGATATGTTGCCTAACTTAGAGGAAGAATGGGGACTACATGTACGAGGTTGATGACTAAAACTTATCACACTAATCCACTTGAAAATGTTGGAATTATGAGGGATAAGTTTTAGTCATCAACCTCTTACGAATAGTCCTCCCTCATTCTCCGAGTTAGACAACAAGATCCATATTATGCCTTGATTGCACATGAAATGTTGGCATTTTGCTAGTCTATTCTAATCCAGTCTAGTCCTCCCCAACAAAGAAGGCCTTAAGGTTATATACTACCTATATCATCTATAGCCAAGACCCATATAGAAGAGAACAAGATTAGAACTGGAGGATTACAGATAATGAATCCAACAATGGCATTCCCAAATAATCCAACAAGCATACCTCTCCGCACTACATTCAATTCTGCACGGCATAGAATTGAGGAGCAAGCTCAGTTAACCACAAATAATCGATCCTAGTTGTGTTGCGGATGTATTTACGATTAGTTTCGACTAGTTCATTGAAAATTAGGCACTCTGGTTTGTTCTTGAAAAACACGGAAGACGGGTGGATCGAAACTATCTCACCGTTTGCTAAAGCCCTGTCATTTGGTTAGGTAAATGTGTGAGGTCGAGCATGACAAAAAGAGAATTAAATAATACACATAAAAAGGGTACAAGTTTTGGAACCTAAAGAAACCAGCCAAAAGAATTTCAAAACATGTCAAGGTAAGATCAAGACCTGTATGATCCCTCAGGCTGCTTTAAAGCTGCATTGAGGAAGAAAGAAGCTGCAAGGCATCTGCAAAACTGAAGCACATCGTCACCACAAGAGGCAACACGAAGACCCATTTGTTCAACATTTCGTCGAATTTGGCTGCAAAAAAACACCTATTAAATTTAGAGAAGCTAATTTATTGGATCTACACCATTAATAGACACACTGATCTTCCATAAGGGGGGTAAAAAAACCTAGTGCGACTGTGTGAGACCAGCTGAAACATGTTCATAGCTCAACAAGGAATTGAAATAGCCAACCTGTGAATGTCACGAGCATGCCTCAGGGAGCGACTATCAATGAAATTTTCCTTGCACCATTTTCGGAAAGCTTTTTCACGCTTCTCTTTACTAAGACCTGATCTCTTTTCCAAGAACTCATTGGACGCTCTATATACATTAACCAAAGTGAGATGATCTCCCTCTGGACTTGCAAAGGATTTCTTTGTAGTTCTCGACTGCCAACAGGAAGAAATATATAGCGCTTTTAAGTTAAAGTAATATTGTGAGATCATAAAAAGAGATATTAGTATAGTTTTATTCATATTACTAAAGCAACAGGATTAAGACCAAGAGTTCACCATATTGTGAGATCATAACGGAAATGGAGAATGAAAACTCAAGAATGGAATGTTAATCCACCATTGCGTTACACCATTCACCAAACGACCACCCATAATATCCATGCTTGACTTTTCTACTTCTACTCATTTAATCAAACTGCTTACCATCACCCTTATGCGAAAAAGATATTTTGACAAACAACTCATCAACTCACTTCTATTATACTTTCCATCTATATAACCTATGAGAAATTAACAAGGACAAATAGGTAATGAATCATCCACAAGTACCTCTTCTTTTTTGTCACGGGGGCTATAAAATATAGATTCTACTGAGAGCATTGCAACCGTTATCAGCATCTCTTCCAGGCAATTGAATTCACTTGCTAGGATTAGAGCTTTTGAATAAATTGGGTCTAAGGGAAGGCAAGCCATTTGGCGTCCAACTGGATTTGATAATTTACAGTCATCTGTTAAAGCACCCAGCAGGAACAATTGCTCTAGTGATTTGACAATAGCCGACCTGTTCAAATGTGTAATAGATTCATGTATGATAAATTTCTTTGATAGATAATAAATCAATATTTATTAGAAGAACTAAACTAACTGGTTGACAAAAATCAATTACAGCAGCCATTTGCTTTCTCATCATTAAAAAGATACAAAAGACAAAACCTATCCAAAATCTTACCTTGTAGGCTTTTCTATGAAGTCAAATCCACTGATATCATCAACACCCAGAGCCTTAAGTTGCAAAATGATATTAGAGAGGTTGCACCGCTTGATCTCTGGCTTTGTTGAATCCTCAAATTTCCCAAATTGATCCTCTTGGTAGAGGCGGAAGCATTTCCCTGGTCCTTCTCGCCCTGCACGCCCACTGCACAATAAAATTATGTATCATAAAAAGTTATCTGTTCTTAAGAAACAGTTCAAGTATCAGGGTCATCAACTAAACGATATGATACTACACTGTTTAAAAGTGTTCACAACAGTGAGCTTCCAAATAATTCTAACAGTTTGTATAACATAAACGTAAATTGAATAACTTTATTATCCTCTAAAATGATATTTGTATTTAAAGAATTCTTGTTAGATCCCCCAAAACTGGCCAGCCATGCCTACCTCCTTTGAAGAGCTTGTGCTTTTGAAATTGGAACAACAACCAAAGATTCCAACCCTTTGTTCGGGTCATAGTAACGTGCTTTTACTAACCCAGGATCTATAATGTACTTTATTCCAGATATTGTCACTGATGTCTCAGCAATATTCGTTGCCAATATTACCTAACAGAACAATGTAACACGATTAGATAGAAAGAAAAGAATACACAGATGAATATATATCATAAACCTATTTCCAATAATATGTATTGCTCTACACTAAACAATTTGTTATGCAACAATCACAATACATCTTCACGCTTCCTATTCATATAGGATAAATGTCTAAGCTAATGAACATCATTAAATTACCTTACGAAATCCAGGAGGGGCCGGTGCAAAAACTCGCATTTGCTGTTCTGAAGGAAGAGATGAGAATATAGAAACAGCCACTAGTTTTTTACTGTTTTCTGGTAACTGTTTAAGTCTTTCTTTGACAAGTCTTTCTACAGATTCAATTTCTTCTTGACCCGTCAAGAATACAAGTATATCACCAGGGCCCTCCTCCAGATGAATCTAATAACACATACATACATATATAAGAACATGTGTGTTATTTAAGAATCACCATTTAAGGTCTATTTTCTGCTTAAAGTGCTCAAAATAGATTCATAAGGTATACTGATACTGACAAAGAGCACTAAATACCTGAAATATGGTGGCTAACGAAGCATCTAGATAA